CTGCTTTTGTGGGGGTGGGTAGGGGTGTCAATTTTTTTCCCCCATAGGTTTTTAACATTCTAAAGCTCTTTATTCCAAAGATACTACAAGCTAGTAGGTGTAATGTATTCTAAGTTGCTTCAGAAGTATTGCAAGTATTACGTACAACAATAAAACAGTGCATTGACATAAAAAAGGAAATTTACTTTTGGTACTTAAGTACTTTTAAAAGCAAGTACTTCTGTACTTTTACTTTTTTTAAATCTGTCTTTACAACTTTTACTTGTAATGGAGTAATATTTGACCAGCGGTATCTGTACTTTCACTCAAGTAATGGAGTTGAGTACTTTGTCCGCCTCTGCCTCTGGCCAAACGAACGGACGTGGTGTGATTATTTCAGGCCGCATCACAAGTCAGATTGTGGATTGATATCATTCAGAATATTTCATCCAACTTCTTCTGCTTGAAGAAACATCATGTTAGTAGGTGAAGCTGGCCATAAGGGTCTGTGCAGAGGGCTTGTCTGGTTTTCGTAGTCTTTGCTGCGGATCTGTGCCGAGGGCCATCTAGTCAATGAGGTCTTTGCATGGGATCCATCTCTAGGGCTCAACTGGTTGACATGATCTCCTCTGACATTCAGGGATGTGTTGTCCAAAGTCTGGTCTGGACTGGCTCCAGCTGATTACGGTAACCTCGGGATAAGGGTGAGACAGTATATAAGCTACTAATATAAGCATAGATGCCATTTTTTCTTCCAAATAACAAGTACACCAGGTGTTATGGGAAGTGTCCGCTTAGCCTAATTGGTGCAGCATAAAAATCCTTTAAGGGATTTGAATTATAGAAATGTATAGTGTGTTATATGTATGCCAGGTTAAAGAGATGGGACTTTAATCTAGATTTAAACTCACAGAGTGTGTCTGCCTCCCGAACAACGGTAGGAACACCTTTCTTGTGTCTGCCCTCTTGATCAGCCAGTTGGCACCTCTTCATGGTACCCTTGACCTCCATTTCAGCAGCCTGAAGGTTTTTCCGAATTGCAGCCTTGAAATATAGGAAGGAATATATGTATAAATATAATAAATAAATAAAACAATATAAAAGTATATATATTGTAAGGTAATTATTAAATCTTCTGCATTACAGTTTTTTACAATTGTTAGGACCAGACCCAGAATCAGCACCTTATATGTTTGATAAATGTTGTTGCCAGAGTTCCTGCAGCAGTTCAGAATTTCTGTAAAAACGTTTTGGTGTCAGATTCCAAAGTGCATTCAGATTAAACTTTTAAATTTATTGTAAGGGAAATAGGTCAATTTAGCTCAAAGGGAATCATTTAAGATTTTAAAGGGAATTTGGACAGAATCACTGTTTTACGGCTGATCACTGAGACGGCCAGCGATTCATTGAACGAGCCGTATAACATCAACTCTGCAATGGATATTAATATCCAAAATATAGTGAAAACACTATTAATTAGCACAGTAACAAGATCGGCAGTTTAAGAAATTAACTTATAAGCACAAAACACAAGATACTTCTCTTTTCAATATAAATAAGGCTTTATTGGATAAATCTAAGACATGTAAACTAATCTAACACATGAACACACGCATTCACACAAGTTGCAGAAAGAGAGAAAGTGAGGAAATTAGTTTAAGAGAATGAAAATGTGAAATCCGAAGTTTACAGCAACCAAGTTTAGTGCCATTCTCTGGCTGAGGACATGTTCTGTGCAGACCAAAGGTTAATCCCCACCGCAATAAAAATATATTAGGTACGATTTTAATCACATTGTATGGCATATATACACTTTAATAGTTTTTGTTCACTCAAAAAAGTGTGCCTGCTCTAGTGCAGCAGAGAGATTAGGCCTTTATTCAAGAACAAATGAAGATGCACTTACATTTTACGGCTTTCTTTTACGTATCTATTGTGCTTTCCTGTGTCGAGGCTCCCTCACGGCAGTTAAATAAATATTATTTTTAAAATTTGGATTCCACATATTACTTTGTCTTTGCGGGTGTAATGCTACATGTGCTCAGTGTAGTTTGTTTCACACACAAATGACTCTTTTTAAAGGTTAAGTGAATTAAATCAGACAGAGCCACCCGTATAGATATCTATGGCGCCACCAGCGCAGTCCGACTCCTATGATTCAATAGCAATCACTCGTTGAAAAAGACGAATCGAATGACTGAATTTTAGCAAACAAAATAGAATATAACAATATAATTTCAATAGCTAACATTATCGTGCACTGGATAGAGCTCATCAGTTGTTCTAATAAAAAAAATTATAATTTTATTCTAAAGAGACCATAGGCCTACTCATCAACACCTCCGGGACCGAATGGTTTATCTGAAGTTATCATCACAAACCTTCTAATAGAAACCATCTAAAAACACACTTTGTGACATTTAAAACATCAGACAACACTAGACTGAACATTAAATAAATTAAATTCCTTACCTTTTTGCAGCTGAAAGTATTCCTTTTGAAAACTGTGCCCACCGAATGTTCCTCAGGATTTAACCGCCAAATATTTTTCTCAGGCGGCTGATTTCCTCATTATGGTAGGGTGACCAGACGTCCTCGTTTTCCGGGGACAGTCCCAGTTTTTAGTGTCCTGTCCCCGACTGGGGCTATCCCGGAAATGTCCCCGTTTTAGAGCACGTTCTAAACAACGATTACTTTCACCCGCAGAAGGCACTGCGAGCTACTGTAGCCATGAAGAACCTGGACGAGAGCAGAGCGCTATCATCATCAGTTATCAAAAGTTATTGGTTTCAAGGTAGTCACATACTAACTATACATGTTAAAACAAAGTAATACTGTTTGTGTGCATTTTATAACAAGGTATGATAAGGTTGCGGGATTGTTTTGCACACAGTATTAAACATTCCTGAAACTTTCGCCGTCACAACTCCGATATGAATAATATAAAAAATAATAAACCAAACAATTAACACTTGCAGAAAGCACATACTTTGTGGTCAAAATGAGCCTAAAATGCTAAATAATAATTTATATAATAGGGTATGTTTGATCCTCAAACTTCATTGTAATTATTAATTATGATATTAATATATGGAAACCACAACAATTAAAAAATAAAAACATACACAAATAGTCCCCGTTTTTTCATTTGTAAATAATCACAAGTGAGATTTCAATGATATTTTCACCACTGAACTAGGAAATGTCCCCGGTTCCCTTTTGATTCGGTCACTCTACATTGCTATGGGAATTACCCTTTCCTTTTACCCTTTCCTTCAAATACTACTGAAGCCTTATTGAATCACGCCAGTGAAACTGGCCAATGGCGTTCAAGCGCGCGAAATATGAGGGGCTCCCACTCTATATAAAGCAGCGCTTGTACGTCATCTATTCAGAATCTTTTTCTTCAGCCAACCTTTTACGAGAAGCAAGAAGCCTATCAACAAGACTACTCATCGTGATCTACACGCTGCAGTGGACACGCCTTCTCTTCCTCTGCTGTGTTCCGGTGAGCTTCGGAAACAAGGATGACTCGCGATTGCCTCTCCTGTGCAGAGCCAATCGAACTCTCTGATGGCCACAAGTTCCTCCGCCCCTCCCCCATCGCTCAAGATGCGGTGTCCTTCGGTGCCATGGTGGGCGCTGAAGAGGTGGAGGATGCCATTTCG